GGAAGAAAATTACCTAACAGTGATACATTTTGAGGAAAATTTATCAAAAATAATATATTAGTACACATTAAATGAAATAAATGACTACACAGCAAAAATAAAGACACTTATTAGAAGCATTATTCTGAAGAATGGGCTATGAAACACTTTGCAGATATCAATGTATCTTCTCAAATATTCGTAATTGGTTTAGTCATATTTTATGACTCAGAAACATTTTTTTTTTTTGAGACAGTCTCACTTTATAACCCTTGGTAGAGTGCTGTGCTGTCATAGCTCACAGCAACCTTAAACTCTTGGGCTCAAACGATTCTCTTGCCTCAGCATCCCGAGTAGCTGGGACTACTGGTGCCTGCCACAACGCCCAGTTATTTTTAGAGATGGAGTCTTGCTCTTGCTCAGGCTGATCTTGAAACCATGAGCTCAGGGAATCCACCAGCCTTGGCCTCCCAGAGGGCTAGGATTACAGGCATGAGCCACCACACCAGGACTTTATTTGCTTTATTTTTATCTAACAAAGAGAAGTTTCTGACTTGCCCTTCCTTTCTTCCTGGGTAGAAAATGCAAATGGCATGTCAGAGATTGTCCAGAGGCAGCTGTGAACTCTCTGTGGGCAGGAGCCCATGTCTGCACCTTCTCAGGTGCTGCATGAGTGGTATGTACTGGTTTGTTCAAGGGTCATGTGCATGTGTGCCAAGTGCAGCCATAAGCCCTCCCCAACCAGCACTACAGTAACAATGCAATTAAAAAAAAAACCCAGAAATAAAGAATAAAACATTTCAAAACTAGGTTCCATTCATCTTACCATCAGTAAAAAAATATGATCTAGTCCCATCTTGTCTGACATAAAAGTTTTCTCCAAGTTTGCTGCCAGCTTTAAACCTAAGCATGGCATGATCATATATCCCATAGTCACGAAACAAAACACTTTTGCCGGGTTTTAATACCTAGGAAACAAAAGCATTGTTAACTCTGGAGAAACCATTCAAATAAAACCTGATTAGAAATTAAAATAACTTAGATGTGGGATAATTATGAAAGGAGTAAGACTGAAATACCCATAACGTGAAGGAAAAAGGGCCTTTAAGTCAGGACAGTTAAGACTTGACAGGCCCCTTTAACATTGGAGACACTTCTTGAGCCCCTCCAAGGGCACTCTGGAATATCCAATGTCAAACATTTAAAATGTTAAAGACAATAAATTAAAGTCTCTTCCTCATTAAAGCAGTTTCTCTCACTTTTTATTAGCCATCTCCTAGTACTCAAACTGTATTCAACTGTTTCTCTTTAAAAAAAAACAACAGGATGTCGCTTTGGCTTCTTACTGATTTGAGCTGGTAGTCCTCATTCTGAGCGTCAGCTCTAGTGTCACTATACTCCAATAATGTATAGCTCAATCAGTGTGCTAATAACTGATATATGCCTAGCACCTGAAGGCTTACCAGACATTTTCTCACTGTTATCTTCTCCCAATTCTGGGAGGAAGGAGTGTGATTATTATCCTCATATGAGATTGGGAAACTGACACTCAAAAAAGTTAAATGACTGGCTCATTATCAAGCATTACCCATTAAGTGGGGAAAGTTAGGATTCACACTTAGTTTAAAACGTCTCATACTGAAAAGTCAGATTTTTGTTAGTCTTAGTGGGTAGTTATCACTCCATTTCCACTAGAAATAAGGTAAGAGAGGCTCAGTTGGGCATGGTAGTTCATGTCTGTAATTCCTGCACTTGAGGAAGACTGCTGGAGCCCAGGAGCCCAGGAGTCTGAAGCTATGGTGAGCCATGATTGAGATACTGTCCTCCAGCCTGGATGACAGAGTGAGACCCTGTCTCTTTTAGGAAAAAAAAAAAAAAAAAAAACCCACATTGTGCTGGTATTCTTGATATGAAGCGTAGGTCCTCAGACCAGAGTACAATAGTTTAGGGAAGAAGATTGTCAGGACCAGGTGGTGAGTTGAACATGAAAGCTTTTCAGAGATAAGGTGTCACAGAGTAGATGTCTCAAAAATTAGAAGGCATGATCAGCAGTGTATATGTACAACTGCCCCTATATGACAAAGCAAACATTTCAGAATGAAAACTGGTATACATAGTGACTGCTTTTTGTGTGAAAATTATTTCAAATTACATAACACTACCAAATTAGAAGGAACTTCAAAGGAAGCATTGATTTATTAAATCTTTGCGTGTGTATGTGTGTGTGTGTGTGTGTTTATGTGCAGTGGTCCAATGATAGCTTACCATAACCTCATACTCTTCCCTCAAGGGATCCTCCTGCTTCAGCCTCCTAAGTAGCTGGGAGTACTGTACATGTGACCACATCTGGCTTACTTTTCTATTTTTCTGTAGAGGTAAGGTCTCACTATGTTGCTCAGGCTGGTTTCAAACTCCTGGCCTTGAGTGATTCTCCCACCTTGGCCTCTCAAGACAGGCATGCGCTATTGCCCCCAGCCCAATTTTATAACTGTATCATTTGGAAAAAAATTTAAGACAATTTTTAAAAAAGGACATATACCACTTATAGATTTTCTGTCTCCTTTGGAAGTAGGTGATGTGTTACCAGTTTTTCCAGATGTAGTTTGATATGTTTCCACTTTCTGAATGGAGTAAGACTGTTCACAATGCTTTTCTAGTACACTAGTAGATTTACTCAGTACATTTTTGTTAATGCTTACATTTTAAATGTCAGTAAAAAGTCTCTTAGAAACAGTCTTAGGCTGCTCAGAAACACTTAAGTTTTACAATGTAAATATGGGAAGCTGGGTGTCATAGCTCAGTGGTTACCATGCTGGCCCTGCACACCAAGGGCAGCAAGTTCAAACCTTGCCTGGTCCTGATTAAACAGGGGAAAAAAAAAAAGTAAACAAGGGAAAATTCTGGAAGACCTAGTTCACAAAAGACTTAGCTTTCAAAAAGAAGTAAGGGCTATATGGGTCCATGGAAAAGAACCAGCACTCACAAATTTGGAAATTTTCATTCAAATCCCAGTTCTTTGATCAACTAATTGTATGACCTCGAGTAAGTAATTTTATCCTTGTGAATATGGCTTTTTGTCAAATAATGATTATAATACTAACGATTCCTTGATCACAAAACTGCATAGTTGGCCAGGCATGACCTATAGCATGTTCTCTCATTCTTTCAACAATTCTAAGATGTAGGCTACACTGGGTACTAGTATACTGATACTTTACAATAAGTCTCACAGTAAAGGTGACTTGCCTGAGTTCTCATGACATGTCAACGGGATAGGAAAGACCAAAGTTCAGGTATTCTGATGACAAATTCAGTTTACTTTTACTTCACTCTATTCCCAAAATGAGGAAATTCAACTTTAAGATTATCTTCCAGGGCAGCGCCTGTGGCTCAAAGGAGTGGGGCGCCTGCCCCATATGCTGGAGGTGGTGGGTTCAAACCCAGCCCCAGCCAAAAACTGCAAAAAAAAAAAAAAAAGATTGTCTTCCAATTTAAAATTATGTGATTCAGGAAATTTATCTGGTGAGAACATTCTGGAGTAATTAGATCTATATTACAACTTATTATTGTGGTTGTTCAGGCAAGGCTTCAGAGTTGTCCACAGGATGTCTTTTTTTTTTTTTTTTGAGATAGGAGCCTCAAGCTGTCCCCCTGGGTAGAGTGCCATGGCATCACAGCTCACAGCAACCTCCAACTCCTGGGCTCAAGCTAGTCTCCTGCCTCCACCTCCCAAGTAGCTAGAACTACAGGCGCCCACCACAACGCCCAGCTATTTTTTGGTTGCAGCCATCATTGTTGTTTGGCGGGCCCGGGCTGGATTCGAACCCGCCAGCTCAGGTGTATGTGGCTGGCGCCTTAGCCGCCTGAGCCACAGGCGCCAAGCTGAAGTACATGATTTTGAATTAATGAGTCAGTCACTATTATGGCAGAGAGAAGAAGGTAATCAAATGCAGTTGTCAACTCTTTTCAGATTTGAAAAAAGATTCTATGCGGTATAAAAATAGGAGGAATGGTAACAAAATGGAGTTTGTTACTAAAGAAAGGAAGGTATGGGCTGGGACTACTTAAGCCATTTTTTTTCTTATTAATATAGCATACCTACTAAGATACAGACAACACATTTATATAGTATGTGAAAACTGATCTATGACAACAGACATCAGAACAGTGGCTTCCTGGGGTCTTTGGGTAATGGAGGGAGCACTGGGAAGACTACAGAGATATCAGACCCATTTGCTATCTAGGTAAGTACCTACATGGGTATGCATGTAGGTGATTTGTGAATTAAAAAGTGAACTCACCACTCAGGATAGTAACTGGAGTATTATCAACACTGCAGCATCTCTGCAACTGCCTATGTGTTTGTCCCTTGCATCCCACCCCAAGACTTCTCCTGGAATAAGAGTCCTTAGTGCAGTGGTTCTCAACCTTCCTAATGCCGTGGCCCTTTAATATAGTTCCTGTGAGTTGCAACACACAGGTTCAGAACCGCTGCCTTAGAGTCCATAAGCCCAAAGCTTCCCAGGTTAGAATTCAGGGGGGCTGTGAATTAAGGTAGAAAACAAAGTTACACCTTTATTTTTACTGCTTCCAATGGAAACTTAGCACCATTTCAATAATGGTTTTTGTTTGTTTTGTTTTGAGACAGTCTCACTCTGTCACCCTGGGTTGAGTGGCATGGTCATAGCTCACAGCAACCTCAAATTCTTGGGCTCAAGTGATTTTCCAGCCTCAGCCTCTGAGTTTACAAGTACCTCTTGTAAATCCTCTGGGATTACAAGTACCTGCTACAAGGCCTGGCTAGTTTTCTCGAGTCGCTGGGACTACAGGCACCTGCCACAATGCTCGGCTATTTTTTGTTGCAATTTGGCTGGGGCTGGGTTCAAACATGCCACCCTTGTTATATGGGGCCAGTGCCCTACCCACTGAGCCACAGGCACTACTCTAGTTTTTCTATTTTTAGTAGACAGGGTATTGCTCTTCCTCAGGCTGGTCTCGAACTCCTGAGTTCAAGCAATCTACCCATCTTGGCCTCTCAGAGTACTAGAGTTACAGGTGTGAGTCATCGCATCTGGCCCTTACTTCAATTATGAATGCAGAAAACCAAAATTCTGATACTAATAGAAATCACAAATATCCTCTTATCACAGTACAGTTCTTGTAGATACTTCAATTTATACTTGCCACTACTTTAAAATCATGGTATTCATTAGACCTACCACTAGAGATCTTGTTAATTAACGTGTTAAAGATGACTTATCACATTAAAAGTTTTATAATATATAATATATATGACTGTAGGCTGGGTATGGTGGCTCATACCTGTAATCCTAGCACTCTGGGAGGCCAAGGTGGGTGGATCACTTGAGGTCAGGAGTTGGGAGACCAGCCTGAGCAAGAACAAGACCCCGTCTCTGAAAAAAACCAGAGGGGCATTGTGTCAAGCTCCTATAGTCCCAGCTACTTGGGAAGCTGATGCAAGAGGACAACTTGAGCCCAAGAATTTGAGGTTACTGTGAGCCATGACGCCATAGCACTTTAAGGGTGACAAAGTGAGACTCTGTCTCAAAACAAACAATACCCCCCCCCCCAATCCCATATATTACTAAAACCACGGTTTCCTTTGTAATCTATTTTATTTAACATTCTGAGGGGTACATAGGTTTCACCAGAATACCAAAGGGGTTCATGGCACCAAACTCTCCCCTAGAGCTCCATCAGCCTAGATCCATGTTATAAGTCTATTGCTTTTTTCTGTTTTTTGGTGTGGGGCCAGGTGGGGTGAGGAGGTCGCTCAACAACTGCTATCAGCAGTCTTCAGAAGCTTGCTTTCTGAAAATCGGTCCACGTCACTGTATGTAGCTAAGGTCATTCTCTTTCAGTGCTGAACACTATTCCACTGAAGATGCTATAATTTATTTATCTATTGATGACTTCTGGGTTATTTTCAACTTTTTTTTTTTTTTAAGATACAGAGTCTCATTTTATCACCCTAGGTAGAGTGCTATGGCATCAGAGCTCACAGCAACCTCCAATTCCTGGGCTTAGGTGACTGTCTTGCCTCAGCCTCCCAAGTAGCTGGGACTATAGGCGCCCACTACAACGCCCAGCTATTTTTTGTTGCACTTTGGCCAGGGCTGGGATCAAACCCATCACTCTTGGTATATGGGGCCGGTGCCCTACCCACTGAGCCACAGGCGCTGCCCTATTTTCAACTTTTTTTGCTATCATAAACACTGCTGCCATGAACACTCTCCTATGTGTATCTTGGTGTGTGGGGGTCAGTTTCTTAGGGAATATATGTAGAAGCAGAACTGCTAGGTTATATGAATGCAAATGATTAACTTTAAAAAATTATGTCAAACTGATTTCCAAAGTGGTTATACCAATTTATACTCTTACTAGAAAAGTATAGGGGTCTTATTGCTCCATATCCTTAATAATACTTGGCTTTGTCAGACTACTTAATTTTGCTTATCCAACAGTATCTCATTATGGCTTTATATTACATTTCCTGGGTTACTGAAACTATCTGTTCATATCTTAACACACAATTTGTATGTTCTCTTCCATAAAGTGACCATTCATGCCTGCCCATTTTTCTATTAACTTGTCTTTCTTATAGATAGGAATTCCTTATATATTTTAGATACTAATTTTTTGTCAGTTAGATGAATTATAAATTACTTTTCCCAAGGTGCCTTTTTAGTTTCTTTTATTTTTTTAGTCTTGCTATGTTGACAGAATTGTGCTCTGTCAGGCCAGGTTGTGTACTACCATGCTTGGCTAATTGTCTAAAAATTTTTTTGTCAAGACACAGTCTTGCTATGTTGCTCAGGCTGGTCTTGAATTCCTGGCCTCAAGTCAAGTGATCCTCCTGCCTCAGTCTCCTAAAGTGTTAGAATTACAGGTATGAGCCAATACACCTAGCTAGTTTCCCACTTTTAATAATCCTTCACCTGGACTTACAAATCAGACAATCTTTCCCTCTTTTCCTTATGTCCTTTCTTTCTTCTTCATCTAGGTTAAGGTCCATGCCCTTTTGTGAGTAAATGCTAGGTTCTCAAATGCTCAAATAACAGAATCAGAGAATGGAATTGAAGAAAAAAAAAATCTTACTCAAATGCTCAAATAACAGAATCAGAGAATGGAATTGAAGAAAAAAAAAATCTTACAACACTCACATGCAGAGGGCTAAATTTTGTTGGGTTGGTGGCTCACACATGTAATCCCAGGACTTTGGGAGGCGGAAGTGGGAGGACTATTTAAGGCCAGGAATTTGAGACCAGCCAGGACAACGTAGTGGGACCCCATGTCCACAAAAAATAATTTAGCAGGGTGTGATGGCATATACCTATAGTTCTAACTGCTTGGGAGACTAAGGTGGGAGGATTAGATGAGTTCAAGGTAGCAATGAGCTATGAATAAGCCACTGTACTTCAGCCTGGGGACAGATAGAGATCCTATCACTAAAAAATATATAAATAAACAAAAACTGAAAATGTTGAAAATATTATTTTAAGTGAGAGTAATTCCCTAACATGCTTCTATGGTCATAAATTTCTTTCTTTTTTTTTTAGAGACACAGTCTTGTTTTGTTGCCCTCGAAAGAGTGCTGTGGCATCACAGCTCACAGCAAACTCAAACTCTTGGGTTCAAGAGATTCTCTTGCCTCAGCCTCCAGAGTAGCTAGGACTACAGGTGCCCACCACAACACCCAGCTATTTTTTTTAGAGATAAGGTCTCACTCTGGCTCAGACTGGCCTTAAACCTGTGAGCTCAAGCAATCCACCCACCTCAGCTTCCCAGAGGGCCAGGTTTACAAGCGTGAGCCACTGTGCCCTGCCTAGGGTCTTAAATTTTCTACCTAATTACTTATTTTAAAACAATTAAAACTAAGGTTAAATTTTAATGTATAGCTCTATACAGAAGCTACTTTTTCAACTTGCCGACTGCTCTTCCCTTCCTCGGTAAAAGCAGACTGGTTAAAGCCCGTGTCTCCCTGAGTAGTTGAGGCTTGTAGGTTTTCTAGAGTATGCAACTTGCACGTCAGTGCCCCAGGACAGCTGCAAGCTTACCATCGGCCACTTGTCTTTGTTCCCAAACTTGCTTATGCCAGTTGTGCTTAGATTTACAATGATATATTTTAATTAGGAAAGTACATAACCATGAATGTGACTAGAAAGCATTTTAAGTTTCCATAAAAAGGCTCGGCACCTGTGGCTCAGGTGGCTAAGGTGCCAGCCACATACACCTAAGGTGGCGGGTTCGAATCTAGCCTGGGCCCATCAAAACAACAATGACAGCTGCAACCAAAAAAAAATAGCTGGGTGTTGTGGCAGGCGCCTGTGGTCCCAGCTTCTTGGGAGGCTGAGGCAGGAGACTCACTTGAGCCCAGGAGTTGGAGGCTGCTGTGAGCTGTGATGCCATGGCACTCTACCCAGGGGGATAGCTTGAGGCTCTGTCTCAAAAAATAAAAAATAAAAAAAGTTTCCATAAAAAGTTGAAATTTTGTTTTTCTTTTCTTATCTTTGAGACAGTCTTACTCTGTTGCCCTGGGTTGAGGCCACAGCATCATTATAGCTCATAACAACCTCAAAGTCTTAGTCTCAAGAAATCCTCTTGCTTTAGCTTCTGAAGTCACAGGGACTACAGGCCCCACAATGCCAGGCTAGTTTTTCTATTTTTATTTATTTATTTATTTATTTTTGAGACAGAGTCATTTATCATGATCCTATTCAATGTTCAACATTTTACCAGCAAAGAAACTAAGGCTCAGAAAGGTAAAGGAATCTGCCAGAGTGGTGAAGGCAGGCTTTGAACCTAAGCACTCTGACTCGACTTTGTGTTCTTGACCACTAAACCACACTTCCTCTCACCTCCCCACAACAGGACTTCTCAGAATCCAGGTAAATGCACAATCATCCTTGTTCCGGCTGGTCAATCTGTGAAGAGTAGCTATGGAGCTTCCACAAATCAGAATTGAGGGTGAATGTTATACCAGAGAACTCTTTTCCATGTACTGACTATAAAGCTTACCTAATAAAAATGGAGAGACTATGTCAATCTAGACAAGAGTACAAGAGCATCAGAGAGAAGATAAGCTGTAGATTAGGACTGTTTAGCTGTCAAGTGTAGGCCCCAAATCACTAACCTTGTACACATTTTGTAGGACAAGATGCATCTTCTCAGGGTGAACAGCTGAGAGTACAAATATCAACATGACAACATCTACTGACTCTGGCGGTACATGATCTAGGAGGTCATCTTTAGTCAGATCACACTGGAATACCTTGCATCTTTCTGTGTTATACAAAGGATTTTGCTACAGAGGGGAAAAACAAAACTGAATTTTAATGCAATAACTACACTGACACACACAGCAAAGTACAGCATCAAAAGGTGATCCTATTTCCATTTGTGTACCATGGCATATAAACAAGCAATCACTTTGTTACTGGATAAAACAGAGTAATAAATCTTTTGCATATAAAGCATGTAATATTCAACATTGCTACAAGGGGCAAGATTTCATTTTGACAAATTATTTTAAACTGAGGATAGACTACAGTCTATTACATATTCAAAAAATGAGCATTTTCCAAGCATATATTTCCAGAGGGATGGTAGTCTAAAACTGCTCTCTGCTTCCTTAATTTCCCTTTGAATTATCCACTGCAAGCCTAAACACTATGAGAATACCTGTCAATTCCTCTTATTGAGATACTCCCACAGTTCTTCTGGGGTATATTCTCCCTTGATGTAGCAAGCTAAAGAAACTAAGTTTTTTTGGACTGTGTTCCTGGTACATTCTGGTTGATTGGCTTCAACACATATGTTCTTGTATTATGAAGACAAATATGTAAATGAGACCTGAATATAGTTAATGGACAGGAAAATTAATATTGAAAAGATGTCAATTCTACCCATAATTCTACTTCTAAATCTAATGCAATCTCAACTGAATCCCAAAAGTTTTCTAGGAACTTATTTATCAGAAAGTAAAAATCTTGGCTCAGAGCCCATAGCTCAGTGAGTAGGGCGCCAGCCACGTATACCAAGGCTGGAGGTTTAGAGCCCAGCCCGGGCCTGCTAAACAACGACAACTACAACAACAAAAAAATAGATGGGCATTGTGATGGGCGCCTGTAGTTCCAGCTACTTGGGAGGCTAAGGCAAGAGAATCGATTAAGCCCCAGAGTTTGAGGTTGCTGTGAGCTACAACGCTACAGTGCTCTACCAAGGGCGACATAGTGACATTTTTTTTTCTGTCTCAAAAAAAAAAAAAAGAAAGAAAGAAAGAAAGTAAAAATCTTTAGGAATAGCCAAGTCAATTTTTAAAAGGAAGAACAATGAAAAAAAAGGTACACTACTAGACATCAAGACAGACTATAAAATGTAGAAATAAAACAATGTGATTTGAGAACGAAGACATAAGATCACTGAGACAAAATACAGTCCCCAACACTGACCTGTGTATACTATATATACACACACAGGATTTTAGTATTTTCTCTAAGATAGACAAAGGTGACAATTAGATTAAAAGGTAGACAATAAGCGTGACAATTATCAGTGAGGAAAAATTAAATTCTCATTAAATTTACTGTGTTTAGACAACTGGCTAGTTATTTGAATTAAAGCACAACTGGCTACCCATGTGCAGTAAAGGACTCGTGGTTTCAACCAAGAGATGTGCAGAGGTAGAAAGACATAGCTCCCATACTTAACGAGAGAAAAACTGGAAAGACAGCAAAGTAATAACTTTCCTGTGAACCTAGAGCAACAGAGGTCAAGCAAGCACAGACAACAAGTGAGACCCCTTCTCTACCAAAAATTTTAAAAATTAACCAATTATGGTGGTACCACCTGTAGTCCCACACCTACTCAGGAGGCTGAAGGTGGGAGGACTGCTTGAGTCAGGAGTTCAAGGTTGTGGTGAGCTACAACTATACCATTGTACTCATTATTCCATCCTGGGCAAGAGCAAGACTCTGTTTCAAAAAAAGTAAAGGATCAGAACAACTGCCACCTCAAACTAAAATTTAGAGGGCAGACAGGTGCCCTCAGAGAGTCACACACCCAAGCACTCAAACGCAAAACTAGAAATTTAACAAACTGACAGGTATTATACTTCACAAGTATGTTCCCACCCCTTGCAGGTATTTCCACGAGGAATATCATCAGGCCCTCATAGGATGATGGCGTTCTTTCTGCTGCTGGCCTTTCTCATCTACTTTAAGGAAGAGAAGGTTGAATCTGCAGTGGAAAGGCTATCTGTGGCCTAAAGCTTAAGGACGCTGGTGGAATACCACTGCAGCTGAGAGAAAGGAGTTATTCTGCCTATACTCAGTCTTAATCTGCAAGGAGAAGAGCCTTTAGATCATAGAACAGGACATGGTGGATTCCTCCTGCAGCTGGGGGAGAAAGAGTTAGAAAAGCTTTATTTTTGGAGAAAGACATAAACACTTGTGAAAGCCACATCCTTGAGACACAGGACCACAATACAGTTCAAAAATAACATTAGAGAACAACCCCCTCCTCCAGACCCCACCACCAAGTCTCCTAATAACAACAGTAGTGCAGCTGGAAAATCTTTAACAGGTTGACTCTTTTGGGGAAACAGCACAAAAAGAGAAGACGTAAAGCCATGAGAGAAGACAAAAACAAAGTCAGAGAGAAGTCTTAAGTCTCTGGTACCCAAAGCAATAACAAACCTCACAGGTAGCTATAGCAACAACAGACTTTAAACACAACCCAACTCCTGACTAGATTATTACAAATCTCTATTACCTCAGTATCCACTACTTGTATAAAATCTGCAACTTCAACCCAAAAATGTATGGCATTCCAAAGGCAAGAAAAAATACACTCGAAAGAAACAAAGCAAGCATGAGAACCAGACTCAAATACAACACAGATGTTGGAACTAAAAGGTGGGACATTTAAAATAATCCTGATTAAATTAAAGGCTCTAATGTAAAAGACAACACGTAAGATTAGACAGGTAACTTCAGGGATGGAAAGTAAAAAAAGATTCAAATGGAAATGCTAAAAAATGGCTGGGTGCAGTGGCTCATGCCTGTAATCCTAGCACTCTGGGAGGCTGAGGCAGGTGGACTGCTTGAGCTTATGAGTTCGAAACCAGCCTGAGCAAAAGCAAGACTTTCATCTTTACTAAAAACAGAAAAACTGACACAAGAGGATTGCTTGAGCCCAAGAGTTGGAGGTTGCTGTGACCTATGGGGATGGGGGAAGAGATGCTAAAACACAGTATTTAAGAGCTGTAGGGCAGTAGCAAATGGTGTAACATAAGTGTAACTGCAACCTCAGAAGGAGAAAAGAGAATGAGACCTAAAGAAAGTATCTGAAGAAAGGTAATGAGTAAAAGTTTTTCCAGATTAACTAAAAAATATACTGAAAATTATAAAAGTAAAATACAGATGATTGTGTCTAAATCCTAAGAGTAAAAAACTCCTAAAACAGACACAAAACTTAAGCACCTCAAAAGGAAAAAGTTAATATGTTTGAACATCCCATGAAAGGGAACCATAAAACAATGCTGCCTAAACTGGAAGAAACGTTTATAATATATATATATATATAAAAGAATATATATATAAGAAGATTCAGAATATATCCTGATAAAAAGAAAGAAAATGACAAACCAATAGAAAAATTTACAAAGGTTAAAAAGAGACAATTCTTACTATAATACAAGGGTCACAAGGGTAGGGACTTTTGCCTGTCTGTTCACTGCTTACCCCCCGTGTTTAGAACAGTGACTGTCACACGTTAAGCTCTCAAACATGTAGAATGAAGGAATTTAGAAGTAACTAACACTACTTACATATTACGAATTAGTTTAACTTCTCTGGTAATTTGAAAAAAAAATAAAATATGGAGACATTATTTTCTGCCCATAAGATTAGTAAATATTAAAAAGACTGGTATCTAATGTTGAGGAAATAGCAAAAAAGGTACCTTTATATTACTGGTGAAATTATAAATTGATATGATCTTTTTGGAAGGAAACTTGGCATTATTTATCAAAATTTAAAAGTATATGCTCTTCTTCCATGGAATTCTACTTATTCCATTACACATCACAGAGAAATGTGTACACACGTGTTTTGGGAAGCACGTGTACAATGCTGGTCACATTAACCCTATTTGTAAGAGCAAAAAATTAGAAGTGATTCAAATAAGTATCAATAGGGAAACTATTGAAGTATGGTATATTCATTCTATGGAATACTTTAACAGGTAAATAAAATCTACATTACTAATATAAAAAACTATAAGATACACTAATGTAAAGAAAGCAAGTTATAATAAACGTGATACCACTACTAGTGAAAAAGTTTAGTGAATGCTAGAACTGTGAAAGATTGATGGGGAATTAGTTATTTGCATGTTGTCAAAGTGTCCCCCACATATGAGTTAATGGCAAAAGGGAAACAGTTTTATAACAGGGGATTAAGGCAGTTACTACCTTAACCCTTTGGCCAAAACTATTATATCATTTATAGTGAGATCACCAGACAATACTGCCTCTTGACAGGGCATAAAATGCAAAATACATCACCTATTAAAATATTTTTCACAAATATTATTTTGTCTGACTTAAATTTACTTCTAGTTTATAGGAAATACAAAAGATAGAGGAATAAGCTAAATAACAACATAAAGAAACAATCTGATCAATCTGGAATGTGGGACTTTAGTATAGAAAACTGGCTTGATCAGCTCAGTGCCTATGGCTCAAGTGGCTAAGTCACCAGCCACATACACTTGAGCTGGCGCGTTCGAATCCAGCCTGGGCCCACCAAACAAGGACGGCTGCAATAAAAAAATAGCCGGCCACTGTGGCGGGCGCCTGTAGTCCCAGCTACTTGGGAGGTGGAGGCAGGAGAATTGCTTGAGCCCAGGAGTTGGAAATTGCTGTGAGCTGTGATGCCACAGCACTCTACCCAGGGTGACAGCTTGAGGTTCTGTCTCAAAAAAAACCAAACAAACAAACAAACAAAAAAACTGGCTTGATCTCTACAAGAATTCATTGTAAGTGGGGAAAAAGGTAAGGGGTTGAGTAGGGGTATTTTAGATTAAGGAGATTTAGAGGACATAATGGAAGAATTAAGAGATAGCCCTTAAGTGTATTAAAAATGATAATAAAAGACCTGGAACTATTTGGGGAGCTCTGAATTGGAACTAGAATTAATGACATTAGGATATTATAGTTATTTTTGTCAGCTATGCTAAGTTTACTGTGGTCATGTAGAACTGCCCCCCGCCAAGATGTATACAGATATATTTAGAAGTCAAATGTCCTTATGTTTGTGATTTATTTTAAATTAATCCAGTCAAAAGTCTATAAAGCAAAAGGTGTTAAGTATATGGATGTTGTTATGGTATTTTTTCCCTACTTTTCTTGAATAAACCTGCTTTTCTACATGTATTGTGTACGAGGGTGAACAGGGAAACAAGACTCATGGTGATCACAGCTGGTTAGCTCTGGGGAAAACTGGAATTGGGCAAAGGATAGAGGGCAGGTCAAACAAATCTAAGAAAATAGAAACACAGCAGCAAAACATGCATGGTGCACCAACCTTAACATATTCAACTGCTCTTGGAGAAAAATCACAGGCATAGGCAAAGATATTCACATCTTCCTCTAAAAGCGGAAATAAACAGTTTCCAACCCCACAGCCAGCTTCTAACACTGTTAACTTTTGATCTTCAAACTAGAGAAAGAGAACCCAAAGTTACAGTTCATTACATGTACATAATGAAGAAACAAACCAAACTAAATGGCTAACAGAATAAGCTGTGGAGTTAAACTGCTTGCCCTCAAATCCTGAAGCTGCCTCCACATTATATCCTTGGGTAAATCACTTACACAGCTCCTTGTCTCAATTTCACCTGAAAACCTACACTTCACAGAGTTATTATAAGGCTTAAATGAGAAAACACATGTAAAGTTCTTTTAAAAGGGTAAACAGTTCGCTAATGTTAACAATTATCATCTTGAAGCTGTCACTGAAGTCATTCACTATGAATTTATTTACTTAGTTTTACTTAAGAGACAGAGTCTCACTATGTTGCCCTGGCTAGAGTGCAGTGGCTATTCACAGCCACTAACATCACACACTACAGCCTCAAACTCCTGGGATCAAGTTATTCTCCTGCCTCAGCCTCTGGAGTAGCTGGGCTATAGGCCCAAGTCACTGAACCTGGCTCTTGAACTTAGCATTTAATGTTTACAATTTTCAGATAAGCATTAAAGAAATAGAAAGTGACCACTAAAATTCTCTCTCCTATGTATTACACCGGAAACTGCTAAAAACTACTTAAGACAGAACAGTGTATTTTTCTCCCGCGGTGCAAAACATTTTGATAATAGGCTTTATAAATTCTCTACCCCTCTTTTACTGATTTTAAATGAAGAACTCAGATAAAGTACAGTATTTGCTTACCTCCCTACATGATCTTAGCTCCTCAAACTCTCTGGTGGTCCAGTGTCTATCTTTGAAGAAGTTAGTGCTATTTCTTTTGTAAAAAAGGTCCCAGTTCTTCTGAGCTTCTTTTTCCAGTTTTTGCTGTTTAAAATCAGACACCAAACCTTGGTCTCTTTTTAGTTTCTCCTCTTCTTCAGAGCTGAGGATCCTTGCCTGCACCCCTTTCCTTTGCAATGAAGCCATCTCAGAAATTGACGGTAATACACTTAACACTGCTGTTCTGTCTCCATCCCTAAATAACCTGAGGTGTCCGTGCTGATATCGCAGACACAGAGTTTTCTCAGATACGTTTTCTCAGGTGGGTTTTCACACCTCAGATAGCTTCCAAAGAAAAAGAATGAGGTTCTGTTTAGTGGTTCTAGAATAGTTCAAGACACTGAGTCAGTGGTTCTAGAATAGTTCTTTACGACACTAGGTTCAACTCACCAAACATTTACCAGATGGTGACACTACCAAAAATCCTGTCTGTTATGTGAGTAAAGGTCACAAAGACGACCAAGTCATAGTTCCTACGTTTAGGGCGCTTACTTTCCCTGCTCAGGATTGTCTCATACGTCGAACTCTAATTCAAACCAAAATGAGCCAACTATTACAATAAATCGGTTTAGTTTAGGAAAAGTACCCTTCGAACACGAATTGACTGAGAAACCCTGGGGAGAACACTCCACAATTTTCGGGGTCCCAGAAAGGGGTGACTTAAAAACACACAACAACGGCCTGCACTGGAAGCGGTAATCAACTGTCAGACAAGTGGGGTCATTGTTTCCCGTGAGCAGGAGCCGCGTTTTTTCGAAGGAGATGACGCTGAACCTGAGCGGCCTCAGTTTCTGATCCCATTCACAAGACACTGTCGCACGAACCAGAAAGGGCGTCGCTTTCCAGGGACTGAAGCACTCGCACCGCCATCACCGCGCTAAGGGAGCCAGTGGGCGCGAGGCTAAAGGTTCCTAGGATCCTTCCCTCTGAAGACACTCCGATTAAACTACCGCACGGGCCCCCGCGGAGGGCCGCCCATGTTTGGCTACCAGAGCTGCGTTAATCTAGTCAGCCACGCTCAGGGCTCACGGTCATCACCTCCTAAATTCACTTCGAGGGGCAGGGCCGGGCGTACTCACCCCGCAGCTGGGCCCAAGCCTAAGAAGCAGAATTTGGAAGTAGCAGCGGAAAAAGCCTGAGTCTGGACAAGCCAGGCCTAAGGACTGTCCCGGCGTAGTCCCTTCGCCATGGTACCGCCCCCACCTCTTCCGCTGGGAAGACGGAAGTCCCTCCTTGACGCCGGAAGTCCCGCGGTCTTGTTTCCTCAGAGTCTCCCCCAACCGCGGCGCCCAGAAGACTTGCTTCCGGCCTCCGGTGGGCGCCGGCTGGGGTCTCGGTGCGCTCCGGAGTGGTATCCTGGGAGCACCGTCCTGCCGGACGCGGGAGCCAGAAACCCTGGCAGCGGCCGCGCCCCGAGAGCGCCGCTCTGGGCGCTAGGCCCGTGCGGGGCCATGAACGGGACCGCGAACCCTCTGCTGGACCGCGAGGAACATTGCCTGAGGCTCGGGGAGAGTTTCGAGAAGCGGCCGCGAGCCTCCTTCCACACCATTCGCTGTAAGTCAACGCTCCCAGGTTCCCTTCGGCCGCTTTAGCCGCCACATGCTCACCTCGACTCCTTCTTTCCCTCTGTCCTCCAAAGTCCAGGGAACTCCCTGCCAGAGTCAGTCCCAGCCTTACTCCAGTTTCTCTGGAACCTCGTTTTGTTCCTTCAGATCGGAGTTCCCAAGACTTCGTCACTCCCAACTATTCTTCTACCTCATAATTCCAAAAGTTATTGGTTCTTTTTCGTTTCTGTCCACCCCCACCCCCCAGTCCTTAAGCCAAAGGAGTCCAGTTCTTCCTCCCCCCATTACTCCATCAGAGCTCTCCACATAGAAAATACTCTGACCGTTTGCTAAGGGCTCATCTGTTCCCCTCCTAATACATTCTCTTCCCTGATTTGCTCAGCTTTCTTTACTCCCCGATCTTACTCCTGGACATCCTGATACTGCCCTTTGTCCCCTGTACTGCCAAAGAGTCTTCATTTTCTCTGCGCCTCATCGGGAATCTTCCTCTTCTTTCCGTGCCTCGTTTGACTTTGATGTCTTTTGAGATCACCCATACTATGAGTTTTCCCCGGACCAAGTCCCGCGGTGGTTAAAGAATAACATTAGAATTTGTGAACTGGGAATAGGTTAAAGCTTGATCTATGTTTGGAAGAAGAGAGCAGTCATAAGGAATGTCGAAATAGTCATTATGCTGGGCTTTTTTCTACATGATTATGGACTCTGTTTAGACAGTGCACTCTGGTTATTAGGAATTGGCTGACTGAGCAGCATCCCTCCATGATTCACAGCCTTTTGATTTCCTGTAGCACTGACGCTGGTTAAGACTTGTTTTTGTTAGAGGAGCTAATAGATGTGACTCAACATACATGAAGAGGGCGTGGTAGCTATTGAAGTTCCAGCTTTATGTGGTTACTTGCTGTGCCATTACTGTGCTTCTTACTGACAGCACATTCAGCTCTTTTAAAGAGAGAAGTTGGGAATATAAGAACATCATTTCATGAGCAGTTTGCTAAGTTGATGTTTTCCTCTACTGAAGGGCATTGTGGAATTTAAATGAGGCCACCATTCATTTAAGCACCTGACCTGCAGTTTGAGGCAGGTGTGTGTTAATGTGAAGGAAGATGGTTATTCATGTGTTCTAACATACAATTCTGAATGCAGTGTTCTAACTGCAATTCAGAAATATGAGCAGGATAACTTTTAGAGATACAGTTAAGCTGTCTGCTGTGAACATCTACAAAAGTATCTTTTTTTTTTTTTTTGAGACAGAGCCTCAAGCTATCCCCCTGGGTAGAGTGCTATGGCTTCACAGCTCACAGCAACCTCCAACTCCTAGGCTCAAGCGAGTCTCCTGTCTCAGCCTCCCAAGTAGCTGGGACTACAGGCACCCGCCACAATGCCCAGCTATTTTTTGGTTGCAGCTGTCATTGTTGTTTGGCGGGTCTGGGCTGCATTCGAACACGCCACCTTAGGTGTATGTGGCTGGCGCCTTAGCCACTTGAGCCACAGGTGCCAAGCCTACAAAAGTATCTTTACTAAAGCTATGGAACTTGAATGTGGCAAATTCTAATTTTAGCATTGTCTGTTCAAAATGAAATCAGCTTTTATTATGCTGTGCCCTTTTATATTTCTTTTTCTTGTTTTTTTTTTTGGCAGGGGCTGGGTTTGAACCTGCCACCTCTGGCATATGGGGCCAGTACCCCACTCCTTTGAGCCACAGATGCCGGCCCCTTTTTATATTTCATACAGGTTTTATAGTCACAGTATTTTTCTTTTTTTTTTGAGACTGAGCCTCAAGCTGTCCCCCTGGCTAGAGTGCCATGGCATCACAGCTCACAACAACCTCCAACTCCTGGGCTCAAGCGAGTCTCCTGCCTCCGCCTCCCAAGTAGCTGGGACCATAGGCACCCGCCACAACGCCTGGCTATTTCTTGGTTGCAGCCGTCATTGTTGTTTGGCGGGCCCAGGCTGGATTTGAACCCGCCACCTTAGGTGTATGTGGCCGGCGCCTTAGCCACTTGGGCCACAGGCGCTGAGCCAGTCACAGTATATTTCATATGCTCTGTTGCTTTTGATCCTCATAACTCTAATAAAACACCTTATGGATGATGAGGCATTACTTTTCAAGTATCCCTTTTATTATCTTTGTTTAATAAAATGATGTGTAAATTCTGTCTTTTCCTCCCAAAATAATCCAGTGAGAGGTCAGAGGAAAAATCTGTGGATCTTGTCGATGAAACCATCCTCCCTGAGTTGGTAGTAATTGAAGCTGGATGATGGTATACCAGGGTTCATAGTACTGTCTTCTCTATTTTTGTATAGTGAAATTTTCCATAGTGAAATCATTTTGAAGACTTCTGAATCATTTTTCTTGTCCTTATCTGAGTAATAAAAACCAACTCTTAAGTTAAAATACTGAGGAAACCCTTAGAAATAACCTGGGGGTTAAGTGTTTTATCCTTTTCCTTTAGATGACTTTAAGCCAGCATCTATAGACACTTCATGTGAAGGAGAGCTTCAGGTTGGCAAAGGAGACGAAGTCACAATTACACTGCCACATATCCCTGTAAGTTCATTTAATTCTTTAAAATAAGGATCATAGTGAATCCTCATATTTTATGTTATTGTGATGTAAATTTCCTACTGTTTAAAATGTCTAGATTTCTAAAATACCAACATTAGGAAAAAAAGGAATTTTAGGGAGTGGAACAGGGTAGAATTCATGCTACTCAGGTGCTTAATTCAAAATGATTGTTTGCCCTTTCCCCAAACTAGGCTTTCTTCCATTTGCTGCAAAGTAGACAAGGTTCCTGTCTAGGCACTGAGTTCTTCTTTTAGGTATGCATTGTTTTCTCTCAAGTAACTGTGAAGAGAAAAGCCCTAGGTACCTTGCTGTTTATATAGGCATAACAGCTCAGGAGTGTGGGTTAACCTAGCCAGGAGTTAAGACAAACAGGAGCAGGATTAGCATCTATCTGATAAGTGTCAAGTACAGGCTGTTAGTCTCAGGCAGGAGCCAGGGGTTTGAAATATTCATCTAATTTACAGATGAATTTAGTTCAGAGCTTTATGGAAAACCCTTACAAAGGAAAGACTTCGGTGAAGCCCTGCCCAAGACAGCACTGATCACAAAGCCCACAGGATGACATGATGTTCTTAATGAACATGTATCATTGCATGTCACAACCCTGTCCAGGAACATAATAAGTTCTTGGTAGTTGGGGGTAGAATGAAAAGGCTCTGGACACAAAGACCTGGAAAACTTTTGTGTTGAGGAAAAATTATCTGCTGGTTCAAACTGCTATTACGTTATTTGTTGCTTTTGGCAGGTTACATCATCTCCCTTTGGACCTTAGTTTCCCAAATGTAAAATCAAAGTGTTAGATAAATGGTCCCTGAAGTCCTTCCAGCTCTAAACTTTTACTGTATGAATAAGAAATCAAAGAGGCAAGGCATTAAAGCAAGGCATTAAATCCTATGTTCAGCAAGTATTAATTGAATGCCTATCATGTATTGGGTCATTATTAGGCACTGAGAATAAAAGTTTGAACAAACATATTTCTTGTTCTTGTGGAGCTTATGGACTGGAGTTTAAGTATAAGAAAACATACAGGCAGCGCCTGTGGCTCAGTGAGTAGGGCGCCGGCCCCATATGCCAAGGGTGGCGGGTTTGAACCGGGCCCTGCAACAAAAAATAGCCGGGCGTTGTGTATGCCTGTAGTCTCAGCTACTGGGGACGCTGAGGCAAGAGAATCACCTAAGCCCAAGAGCTGGAGGTTGCTGTGAACTGTGACACCATAGCACTCTACCAAAGGCAACAAAGTAAGACTGTCTCTAAAAAAAAGAAAGAAAGAAAGAAAATATAGCACTTATTCTACATAATCAGGGAAGGCTTTCTTAAGGAAGCAAACTTTGAGTCGATCTGAAGATTGAGTAAATTAAAGAGAAAACAGCAGCACCCAGTAGACAGAAGCTTTGTTAAAGCCCTGAGGCAATAAAGAGCTTGGGGATCTGAGAGAAGCCAGTTGCCATCTGGTCTGAAGCACACAGAGCCCAGGGGTGCATGGTACAGAGAGCTAGGGAGGAACCAAGGGCTTGCAAGACCAGACGGCTAGTTTAAAGGTTTTATCCCTTGGCCTAAGAGCAACAGAGGAGTGATAGAAAGGTTTAAGCAGGTGAATGGCATAATTACTTACTCTGAGCTAACTAGGATAATGACCTCCCTTGGAGCATTCTCTGTTGGTTACTTGGCACATGAGAGGGAAGCCCTGGACTCTTTAGTTAGAAAGAAATATGGGCCGGGCACAGTGGCTGACGCCTATAATCCTAGCATTCTGGGAGGCTGAGGCAGGTGGTTGCTTAAGCTCAGGAGTTCCAAACCAGCCTGAGTAAAAGTGGGACCCAGTCTCTACTAAAAATAGAAAAACTGAGGCAAGAGGATTGCTTGAGCCCAACAGTTGGAGGTTGCTTTGAGCTGTGACACAATGGCACTACTCAGGGTGACAGCATGAGACTCTGTCTCAAAAAAACCAAACAACAAAAAGAGAAAGAAATGTAGATTACTCACTTGTTACTAAGTGATAGCTCTACTTAGTATAATGCAAGTGATGGTTAATTTATTTTTCTCAGTTTGTACTTTATCATTATTTATAACACTTCTGTAATCCCTAGAAACATGTACAGTAATTTAATTTTTTTTTTTTTTTTTGGTCACCCTTGGTAGAGTGCTGTGATGTCACAGCTCACAGCAACCTCCAGCTCTTGGGCTTAGGCAGTTCTCTTGCCTCAGCCTTCCGAGTAGCTGGGACTACAGCACCCAGCTACTTTTTGTTGCAGTTTGGCCGGGGCCAAGTTCGAACCCGCCACCCTTGGTATATGGGGCCGGTGCCCTACTCACTGAGCCACAGGTACTGCCCAGTAATTTAAAATTTTTACACTACTTTTCTTGATTACTTAGAATCAGTTGCACAGTCACAATTTTTTGCTGTTTTATTGTCTCCTTTTTTATTTTTGCCTAGGAATTCAGAAGGAGTTAAAATAGAAATTACTTCATTCTGTTCACTTTGAGTAGCTTTGATAAAAGATTTTATCAAAGAGTCATCTTAGAGACTCTACATCTTTTATAGAGTCATCTGTAAATTTACTTTTGTTATTCCTAAGTTTAGTTTGATCATCTTATGCTTTTTTTGCAAATAGGGATCCACACCACCAATGACTGTGTTCAAGGGAAACAAACGGCCTTACCAGAAAGACTGTGTACTTATTATTAATCATGACACTGGTGAATATGTGCTAGAAAAACTCAGTAGCAGCATTCAAGTAAAGAAAACAAGGTATGTAAATAACCACATGCTGATTTCTGTTATGTTTCTAAACTGTTGTGTTATTTATTTAGTTTTTAGAAAGTCATGAGCATCTCCTTGCTCATAGTGTTCTATTGATAATCTTAACTCTGCCTGTGTCTACTCAGATAAATCAATAAAATACATCTTTTCCTCAAATGCAATAAAAAGGAGTAATATTTTTAAGACCTAACAGGGATGTCTAGCCTATGAGCCGTGCACAGATTATTTGAGGACAGCTTTGTTTATCTGTGGTTATCAGATATTACAAAAAATATGCATGGACCCTCTTTATTTTGCTCATCAGCTTTAGTTAGTATTTGTGTATTTAGTTTGTGGCCCAAGGCAACTCATTCTTCAACGTGTGGCAGTAAAGAAAAAAGTTTGAACATGCCTGAAAATATGGGCACCTTGGGGAAAGATAATGTACTTTATCTAATCTTTTAAAACTAATCTAACTAAACTAAAGCTAATCTTTTAAAACTCAACAATTGTTGATATTGTACCACCTAAGGGATAAAATTTAAATTTATAGACTTATAATTATGAAAGAATAATTGAATAATGTATTCTTTATTAAAGTAAAAACATTAACTGTTTTATAAGATACATTTCAGGTCACTAAAATACTAAATTAAAATTGCCAATTTTTTAAAATGATGAATTCTTTCAGATATTACATATCTAATATGAAACCAGTTAGGGTTTGTTTGAAAGTCAAAATTAGTTCTGCAAATAGAAGTAACCTGGTGGTTCTATTTTGTTAAGTGTAACATAGTAATTATTATAATATGATCATTTTAAAGAGAGTGTCATAGACTGATGTTTTTCTATTATGCTTCCTCAAGTCATTTTTCTTTATTCATTTCACAAAAAAATAGCAACCGTTGAGAGGTTTTCATGTACTATAGACACTGTTCTAGATGCTTTATGTACATTAGCTTATCTGATCTTTGTGAATAATTTTTAGAAAGGTGCTATTAACTACCCTTAAAAAAAAAAAAAAAACAGATAAGGAGACTGAGGATTAGCAAGATTGTGACTTGCTTAAATTTGAGTGCTAGAGCTGTGAACTGGCCCAGGCAACGCATTGTGTAGCCCTTGCTTCTGTCCTGCTACTGTCCATGTGTATTCATCATGTACAATGAACCAGATGCCACAGTTACCCCTCCCATGCCTGGTGGTCGTATATTCCTTTGCTACTCTGTGTGATCTGGTGAGTAGCAGCGTCATGTTACCTGGGTACTTATTAGACTTGCAGCATCTTAAGACTACCAAGTCTGAATCTGCAGAGATCCCCAGGTGATTGATTGGTACATAAAAGCAAAAGCTTGAGAAGCACTGGGCTAGAATTTTCTCAGCTTGAGGTGGAACTCTGCTTGTCTGCCAACAAGAGCTGGCATGTGATGAAATGAGCAAGCAGAATGTAGATAATGGAAAAATTTGCGAGTTGGCCAGTATTTTAAGAGTTAGTTTATTTAGGAGCCGATGCGGTTGTGATTGTAACTTCATATTGCTCACAATGAAGCAGTCAGGTACTGCCTGTAATAACAGGCTGCATAGATGAACATGGTTCCATAAGATGATAATAGAGCACAATGGGAACCTGATATATGGCACTTGAAACTGACGTTGCAGATCAAGTAAGGGAAATGACTGATAATTCATTAATGGTGCTGGGGCATTTCATTTTCAATATGAAAAAAATGTATGTAAGTAAAAATGTTTTCTCTGGGTTTGTATGAGTACACTTCATGATATTTGCATGATAAAATCACCTAATGATGGATTTCTCAGAACATACCATTGTTAAGCAACGCATAACTAATTTCTACTAGTAAAATGATTTCTCATAATCAAGTTATAGCTTATATTTCTTTTATTTCCTTCTTGCTATAACATGTGGGTTCTGTAGGGCAGTGAGTCTGTTTTATTCATCTCTGTATCCCTGTTGCATGATACAGTACTGAAAGGCAGTAGACACTCAGATATTGAATGAGTTGTTAATATGATACAATTTATAAATGACAGTATTTTTCAGTGGTCTGGATAGAGCATGAGGTTCTATGGAGATGACTGGGTGCTTGAGAACCACTCTTTTCCCCCTCTGATTTAATGTATGTCTCTCCTTTCAGAGCTGAGGGGAGCAGTAAAATCCAGGCCCGAATGGAACAACAGCCCACTCGTACCCCACAGCCATCACAGCCACCACCACCTCCACCACCTATGCCATTCAGAGCTCCAATGAAGCCTCCAGTTGGACCCAAAACGTCTCCCTTGAAAGATAACCCCTCACCTGAACCTCAGTTGGATGACATCAAAAGAGGTAGACATTGTTTTGTGGAGCCATGATAGCAACTTGGAGTAGAGAGTTGATGTTCTTGTGGAGCTCACAGGGCTGCTTTTCCCACATGGTGGCAGGCACACTCACTGGCATCAGAAAAATTTTTGCACAGCTCACTGTTCCAGAGGTGGTGAGGGTGGCAACTTTTGCCATTTATCTCATTTGATAAGGGTAATTCCCTGAATAGTGATTTGAGTGTGGCTTTCTTGGTAGCATTATGCTTAGAGGCCCAGGATTTAAACAAGTATGACTGTCATCTAAAGCTCCATATAGCATACCCCTAAGGCTTTGGAGAAAGAAAGGATTCTAGATGTAGGGAGTAAAAACTAAGTGCAGCAATATTACTGAGCTTTATATTAATGTAGTGTCTGGGATAGAGGGGCTGGGTATAGTCCCAACTACTTGGGAGACTGAGGCAGGAGGATCACTTGAGATATTGGTTTACTGTCATCATGCCTGTGAATAGCTACTGCACTCTAGTCTGGGCAACACAGCAAGACCCCACCTCTTCTAAAAAATAGGTTTGAGGACCATTTAAAATACCATGATCAAAAACTTGGTGCTGACACAAAATGTATGAATATGAGGACTGGTGGAAATGGATAATGGCTTAGACTTCGAGGTGTGGTTTGGCTCTCTCTATTGCAAACCTGAGATAAAGGTTTACTTTGGCTTTCTCCCCCATACAGTGCATGGTTTTAGTGTTCCAAAGTCTTCTAAGTTATGAGGCTAAGTGGCATATTTCATATTTCTAAGTTAAATGAAACAAAATGAAATATACAGCAATAGTAGATGGGGAAAGATAAAGAGTTGTCCTTGGGAAGTTTGCTTTTTCTACCCTACAGAGGGGGTGGAAAATGAAATCACTCTGTTCACTATGCACAGCTATACATGTCTTAATTTTTTAAACCTTGTGGATATTGGAATGCTATGGTAGACGTTTCCTCTAAAGTTAAATAAGAATTAGATCATGTGTAGTTGGTTGTCAGTTCTGCTTAAAGGAGATATAGGTGTTTAAAGTCACCTGTTATGTTTGGACAGGACAATCTGGCATCTTTCTTGATATATCCTGTGATATATCCTAATGTATTCAGTGACATTGAAATGGCTGGTAAAACATGCTTTTTCTTCCCTGCTTAACATCTGTAAAAAAGGCTGTCAGTCAAACATGTGGAATGGAGAGGAGGAATGTTGTTCCACCATTTTTCTTAGTTGCTGTGGTTCTCCCTGCAAGTCTTCATGTCGTGGGACATGAAAGCTGAAAAAGACCCTAGGGCTGTCTGGCCCGCATTTTTCCAGAATGGCTTGGGATATTCATTGACTTACACCTGGAACTTACTGCTGGTTAGAGGGTGATCCAAAACAAGCATTAGACCTTCCAACTCCTGGTCAAGTATTTTTCAGCCTTTTAACATAGTATTTCTCTTTTCTGGAAATTATGGTTTTACCCCATAATTCACAATCTTTTTTGCTCAGAAACATTGCTACACCTGGTTTATTTTTATAAATAAAGGCAAAATAGACTTAAATCACTTTTTATACAGAATAGTCATTCTCTTGAAACAGAGTCTGCTTTTTGTTTATTTTGGGTAATTCCATCGTCTCTCTGGAAATAGTTTTTTTGTTTACTTTGGTTTTAGTCATTTTGTTTATATGTTTGTTAAGGAATTGAGAAGTAGGGCTTTGTCTAAATACTTTCTAAGCAAGATGTTATGGTGGGCACCTGTAGTCCCAGCTATTGGGGAGACTGAGGCAAGACAATCACTTTAAACCCAGGAGTTTGAGGTTGCTGTGATCTACGATGATGCTATGGCACTCTCCCCAGGGTGACAGAGTAAAACTCTGTCTCAAAAAATACATATGCTTTTTAATATTGTTGCTTTTGCTGATTTGCTCTTTATAGAAGCTTCAACAAACTGCCTTGGGAGTGGTGGCTCTGCTGATCCATGTCATGTATTTATTCCAGAGCTGAGGGCTGAAGTTGATATTATTGAACAAATGAGCAGTAGCAGTGGGAGCAGCTCCTCAGATTCTGAGAGCTCTTCGGGAAGTGATGACGACAGCTCCAGCAGTGGAGGCGAGGACAATGGCCCAGCCTCTTCTCCACAGCCTTCACACCAGCAGCCCTACAACAGCAGGCCTGCCATTGCCAATGGAACCAGCCGGCCACAAGGAAGCACCCAGCTTATGAACACCCTCAGTAAGAGTGCTGTCCCTTTTATGGCTGAGAGAGGGCTAGTGATGCATATTCTATTTATCTTATACCAGACCCTATAAACCTGAAGACATTTAAGGCATAGAAAATGATCTTGGCAAAGATAATTTGGACTAGAAAGGAGGGAGTTACATAATAGTAAAAAAGGGAAACACAAGACTCAAAGTGTCTTTATCTTTTCCATTCCCCAATGGCACAAATTGAGTTTTGTGAATTCTGACAAATGCTTAAACATGAGCAGTAGGCTCTTTGCTTTTGTTTATAAAGCAGGCTATAGGGGAGCTTACCTGCCATCATACTGCCTTTGCCTCCAGGACTTTCACGAAAAAGAATGCAGACAGCGAGATATCCTGTAGTTCACATACATAGGAACCTATGCCATTGGGATTTATGTGGAGACCAATGAGCCTCTGGCAAGAGGGAGAGGAATGGATATCATAAAATATCTGGGTGGCTTTTAATGTAGTTGATACTAAAGTAAAGCAGAGGAAAATAAGGGCAAAATTTTCTTTTTCTTTTTTTTTCTTTTTTTTTTTTTTTTTTGGATGTAGGGAGAGAGCTGAATTTCTGTGCTTTTTATTTTTCTGGAAGCCTAGTGAATGTTCTTCTGTGGTGCACCTCCCTTTGAGGAAATTGGAAGGTCTGGAGACAACAGTGGGGAAGCTAAACCTAGTTAACCCCACTGGTGTAGACCAAGCAAAGATAGTCTTGGCACTATTGACATTTTGAGCGGGAAATATCTTTGTTGTGGGGGGCTGTCCTGTTCATAGGATGTTTAAGAGCATCCCTGACCTCTGTTCACCAGATGCTAGTAACAGTCCTCTTGACCCCAACACGCTATATCAACCAAAAATCTCTGAAGACATTGCCATATGTTGCCTGTCTTCAGCATAGGTTGAAGGGTATAGAGAAAATAGCATTACAAAGGTAGGTCAATGGAGAAGGGAGGACCTCAGGATCAGACCTTGCTGAAAGAGTCTCTGGGACTCCAGAGCCTCACTTTGAGAAGAACTAGCCTAGAGATTAGCAATCCAGAAATACGGAAGTTCACTTTTATTTTTTAATCCAAACAATGTCAGCTGGTGTTCTATTATACATATTCCTGTTTTATTAAAGTGAAAGGTTGAGTACTTAAGTTCTTCACTCCTAAGTTTTGCACCCTAAACAAGAATCTGGGGCTTTGTAAAACTCATTAGTTCAGATTTAAAGTTTAAAATAACACGAGTATCCAGAACAGAAGTGTACCAGAGAGGGAATAGTACTCTAGTGTATTACTGGTGTTAACAGTACTCAACTGCCTTAGTAGGGAGCCTAACATGGTGTTTCCTTAGTTTTTATAAAGCAGTTCTACCAAATGGCAAATCAGTTATTTATATATATTTCCTTGCTACTTATTAACACATTTAAAAGCTTTCTAACCTACTCCTCCTTTGCTTCATCCTAATCAGTATTGCTGTGCTTTGCAGATACTAAAAATAGCATCTCTTTTAAAATGTTGACTACCAGTTTTTTTCACTAAGTTAAATGGATTTTTCTCCCTCATTAAGTTGAGTTAGCAAGGTTTTACTGTAGTATGATAGCCATAGCAGTCAATCAAAAAATAGTGAGAAAGTAATTTTTAAATTCTGTACTTTTGGTTTGATTCTATTTTTGTTTTTGTTTTTGTAGGAAATGACTTGCAGTTGAGCGAGTCTGGCAGTGACAGTGATGACTAGCACTGGATCTTTGAAAATCTACTTTTTGGTGCACAAACATGCTGCAAGACCAGGCTGCTCTAGCGTGGAGTCCATTACCAAGAGGAAAATGTTATGGATCAGTGACTGTAGTAGGAGTTTGAGGCTCTGGAGCATTCAGATATTCAAGTCTTTAACTTAGTGGTGATGGGTGATTTTCTCATGTAATTTTTGAACAATCTCACGTTTCAAAGTAGATCTGTAGAAGAACTAACAGAATTATATTTCTATTTAGTTAACATTGTTAATGAGAAACAGACAAATGTGCCCTAATCTAGGTTACTCAGAGGCCATTCCTTAACCAGGCCAGTCAATTTGGCCAAGTAGTCTGCACTAGTGAAATGAAACAGTCTTTAAGGGGATAAGGACAGAGGAGGAAACCTCAAACAGAAATATGTTTAAACCACTTTAAATTGTTGACACAAAGTGGTAAGGAAGTTTTGTCTGGCTCAGCCTGATAAGCCTAGGTAGAAATGGACTTCAAGACAGAGTGCTTGAATGTCAGCTGGCTGGGACCCAGGAGATCTGCTGGCTGAACCCTCCATTTACAGACTAGGAAAGGGAAGCACCCAGCTAGCTATGGCCAGTCTCCTATGCACTGCCTGCCCCCTTCCCAGGCTTTTCTCTCTACTCCTTCCCTTGAATCTCATTTATTGGAATCAGATTCTTATGTGTGGGACTTTTAGGTGTACATTGGAGCTTTGATTAGATTCCAAAAGACAAAAGCCTTGGGTACTTCTAGCTTGAATTCAGATCCACACAGTTCCTGAATACGTAAAGCTGAGTGAGCAAACTAAATCAGCAGCCATTGTGCTGATGTGTGTGACTGAATTAAGCTGGGGCTTTTGGTTCCACGTGGATCTATACAAAGTGTTCTACAGCCATTGGATTTGAGCAGGGGGAGGCAGGAGTACAAGAGAGGTGTAGTGAAGAACCTCTCTGAACAAATGAACTAGCAGTAAGTTTCCAAGCACAGGAATCTAGATAGGAGTTCTGCAGTATGAAATGACACAGTCTTTGATAGGGTATGTCTGTGCATGCTTTTGTACCACTGTCTGTGCCTGACTCCCAGACTAATTTGTATTTTTTATATACAACTAGAAGAAAGTCACAAGATTGCCTTCTACAATGTACAGTTTCTAAATGAATCTGTTGTTGCAGGAAACTGGTCACTAGTAAATGTTCCATATGGAGTGAGTGTGTGATAAATCATCCTATAATTAGTAAGGAGTAGCCCATTTCTATAGTTTGAATGAATATGTCCTGGGAAGTTTCCATCTACTTTTTGGTTTAGCAGGCACCAAGACAGTAATAATAATTTTCCTCTTTGAAAACCCCTACTCAGATGCCTCTCCCTCCCCAGCTAGTAGAGGAAAGCAGTCTAGACCTAGAAAGGAAGTAGCCTGTGGTAGGGGATTTTGTTTGTTTATAGAGTTGACTATTGTCACCCACATAGTGACCCCACTGAGCTGGAGATGGGGACAGGCAGCCATTGCCTAGCAGCACGCTCACACCACTCCACCCAAGTTGGGGTCACAGGTATGCACTATGCCCTGCGGTGGATTCTCAATCTGTTGTGTGGTTTCAGTGGATTTGGTGGCAGGTAGGAACGTACTTATAGTGGGTTGATAATTGCTTTATGATTCTTTGATAATAACAGCTCAGGGACGGTGAAGGTCATGATTGGGAGACTTGAATTGTTACTGGATGGGGGAATTGCTTCACTGCTCTTAACCTGCTCAAACTGAGGCAGGTTCCAGGAACTTGAACTAAAAATGTCTATTTAAGTCTTTCTCTTTTTTTCCCTCCCTTTTTTCTTCAAAAGCCTTGATTTATATAGACAGAACTGTGGTTTTTGGCATGTTGGGCCAAGACTTTTGTTTCTATAGGAAGTACTTGCATGTGTCACTGGGCGTGGTGAGTCAAGCTTTCTGAGCTTGAGACCCTTTCCTGTCATCTGTCCTACCCAACACTGCACAGTTATTCCATAGCACAGCTCCATTTTGTTTTCTGCACAAAGTCTTTGGTGGTTCTGTTCCCATACCCCCTAGCTTTACCCACCAGAGTAAGGAATCTTTTCTTTTTGGAAGTCAAGAATTTTGCCTCACAGATGGCTTCTCCTAAATATAACCTTGTGCCAGCCAAACTGGACTTGTTGTTCCTGCCTCTCAGCCTCTCCACCTAAAAACCCCCCTCCTGAGCCCCCACAGGTGCCATGTTTTGTCGTCTCTTTCAACCCACATGGAATGTCCTGTGTGTACATACTGACCTTTCTCTTGCTTGCACTTTGGTTGGTATGAGCTCCTTAAAAGCAGAGACTGTCACTCTCCTCTCTATGCCCTGGTGTATCCACAGGAATAGATATTCAGATGCTTTTATAGCTTGGGGGAGGAGGAAGAGAAAACTAACCAGAGCAGTACAGGGGATAGACATACAGAAAACATTCCAATCATTTGGAGCAGCTGGAAATATCCATGTTGAGTTTCATGATTTAGAAGTCTTTAACTGAATTGTTAAAATTGCCTTTTCTTTGCTCTGTACGATGTCTACTATACTGTGGGTCATATAGGCAAGATGAAATGACTTAAGTCTCAAGTGTCTGAAGAGCCACAGTAAGCCTTAGTAAACATGTGATTTGGGGAAACAATACAAATAAACTAGAGACTTATAATAATACCACTCATTAACTATTTTGATTTCTGTTGCAGAATCATTTTTTCCATGTGAGGTGTTAATATGTGTATCAGTGGTGGGAAAACTTGAAAATTCCAAAATCCTTCCCTATTTGAGAGAGGCTGGTTCAGTAGGATATGTTGTGTGTGTGTGTGTGTGTGTGTGTGTGTGTGTATGTGTGCGCATGAATGATGTATTTATTACATTATTTTGGAAGAAGATTAGTCTGTTATGTGGATATATATTAGGTATAGCCAAATGGGATCTTTCCATTTGGTAAGGAAGGTAGGATTTCTGAAACTCAGGCCTTAACCAGTAGGTTGGAAGACAAGACCAATTGAAGCATTATGAAATACATGTTTTTGTGGCTTCTGTTATTTCTGTCTTGGGTTCATTGTTTCATTCTTCAATGATTTTTAAAATCTTGTGCCTAAAAGTTTGTTTTGCTTAATTACAAAGTAGACATGCATGTTTACATTTATGTAAAATATTTGCTGTATAAAAGGTTTTTGTTGTTCATTCTCTTTAAAAAATCATTTTATCAGCTGGGCATGATGGCTTATGCCTGTAAACATAGCACACTGGGAGGCCAAGGTGGGAGGATTGCTTCAGGTCAGGAGTTTGAGATCAGCCTGAGCAAGAGTGAGACCTGTCTCTACAAAACAGAAAAATTAGCTGGGTGTGGTGGTGCACACCTGTAGTCCCAATTGCTCAGGAAGATTGCTTGAGCCCAGGAATTTGAGGTTGCTGTGAGCTAGGCTGAGGCCATGGTACTCTAGCCTTGGCAACAGAGGAAAACTGTCTCTCAAAAAGAAAAAAAAAATGTTGTATTTAAATAAAAATGATCAACTGTAAACTTTAATGTTTTTGTGGGGTTTGTTTTTCTTATTAGCAATTAGTGAGCCACATAGATTCTTTTAAGAGAATTTTATGCATAAGTCTAATCAGCTAAGTAGATTGATTCCTTTTAATTTGGTATTTATGATCATTAGGAAGTATACCTCAGTTTTTAAAAAGGTGTGATGTTTAAAATTTAAGGATGAACTTTAGTTTTTAAAAGGTATAAAGTTCAAAATTAATTGAAGGATGACTTTAGCAAGCAACGTGGCTTCTGGGGCCATTTCACATGGTCTGGAAAGGCAGGCTTGGCTTTGGATCTGAGAACTATACAAGAGCTAAGCTGAATCTGGAGACATCCTACAGTCACTTTAGTTTCCAAAATTCCCTGGACCTGGAACACTGTGCCACATGTATACATACCTCTGAGCCACAGCAGATGTTCAGCTGGAGGTGATCTGCTCTCCTGCTTCCAGCTTCTGTTCCAGCAGTGTTCATGTCTGCCTTGTGGTCTTGGCTTGCCCCCTTGACTGTAAACTCCTAGGTGGGGAGTGATTATATTCCTTTGTAATTCTCTGTCTCTAATGGGTGCTCAGTAAATTTGGGTTGAATAAAATTACAAGTTAATTCTCTAGGAATCCTTTGCTGCTTATTCTGCGATTGGCATGCATTCCCTCAGGTGGAAATAGGAGGTAGGCTTGAACCATCTCTTGGGAAATGGTGGTGTACATTCATCATCTAAGGGAGTTTTATCTTCAGTTAACTGTTGCCACTATAGTGGTATATAACGGAACCATCCCAAAACTCAATAGGTTAATAATTTATTTTGCAGACCAGGCTCTGTGGCTAATGCCTGTAATCACAGCACTCTGGGAGGCTGAAGCAGGTAGATTGCCCGAGCTCACAGGTTTGAGACCAGCCTGAGCTAGAGTGAGACCTCATCTCTAAAAATAGCTGGGCATTGTGGCGGGTGCTTGTAGTTCCAGCTACTTGGGAGGCTGAGGCAAGAGAATCACTTAAGCCCAAGAATTAGAGGTTGCTGTGAGCTATGACGCCACATCATTCTACTGAGGGTGACAAAGTGAGACTCTGTCTCAAAAAAATTGTTTTTTGCTCACAGATCTTAAGGTTGGCAATTTAGACTGGCCTTGACTGGACAGGTCTGGTCTTGACTGGCTCCCTTGTATGCCCTGGCAGTTGAGTAAGGTTCAGGTGATTTAGGATGGCCTTGGCCAGCACAGTGGGGACAGCTCAACTGTGTCTCAGCCTCCAGTAACCTATTCTGGCCATGTCATGGCAAAGGCAGGGGTGCAAGAGAGGGAGGACATATGAAATGTTTCCATCACAATTGGTAATGTATCATTGGCCAGAGCCAAGTTCAGAATTAAGTGGTGTGGAAATACATTCTACCAATTGATCGCAGAGTTACAAAGTACATTGGGGAGGGTGTAGATACAGGGAGGTGGGAAGAACTGGGACTAATACAATCAATCTCCTACAGCCACATATCCCATGGTTAAGAACACTGGGCTGTGTGATCTCTAAGTCCCCTCCTGGTTCTGTCATGTTCCCTGGTAAGTCTCAACAGGAGTTAAGACAGATTTGTATTCATGCTTCCTGCAGAGGGCACCAAAGGCAAGCTCTTTACTTGGCATCTCATCCCCACTTTATTCCCTGCATGTAGTTTGCTTCCCTCCCTCCTTCTTACCAGAGCACTATTCTGGTTATATGTTGTTAACTACTCTAAAACTTAATGGCTTAAAACAATCATTATTTTATCTCCTGGAATCTGTTGGTTAAGAATTGGGACAGAGCTTGGCTGGGCAAGTCTGCTCTTTGTTCCTTCAACTCAGGTCACTTAGTGGTACTCAGCTGGCAGACAGGCTGGACTGAAGGGTCCATGGTGGCTTCACTCACATGTCAGGCTCCCTGGTGGGGATGGCGAGAAGCAGGCCCATCTGGAACTATCAACCAGAGGGCCTACACTGCCTCTCAGCATGGCCATCCTCAGGGTAGTGGGCTTCCTTCCACAATGGCTGGCTTCTCTCTGGAATGAGTGTTCTGAGAAGCTGCATGGCTTCTTATGACTTAGTCGGAGAAGTCCCTTGGCAGCACATCTGTAGTATCCTATTGGTCAAGGCAGTCTAAAACTCACCTGGATTCATGAGGAGGGGGCACAAGCTCTACTGCTTGAATGGAAGAATATCCGAAAGCCACCCACCCAAGTCCACTCCTTTCCTCCCTGTGTTCTTTTGGTCAAGTTTTCTGCCATTGTTCTCAGGTGAACCATCTCTTCAGAGTAGTCGCACTTAAAATGTAATCCCAGGCCCAATATCAGCATTTTCTAGGCCTAGAATGGCCTCAAACTACTGAACTCAAGTGATCCTCCCACTTAGCATCCCAGGTAATTGGGCCTAGAGGTACACACCAGCACTCCTGGCTAAGACTATTAGTTAATACTCTATCTGCTTATTTCAATAGACACACTTTCATAGAGAATGGAAGGCCAGGTTTGAATTTGGAATTTTAGATTCCACAAAGTCCTGTGGCAGCATATAGCAGCACAAGGGGAGCAGGACCCAGCTCCCCACCTGACACTCTTCTATTTTACTCCTGTGCCTATCCCACCAAGAGGGGGCCATGCAGAAACCCAGCTCCCATCCAAGCTCCATCTTGATGCTTATAAACAGCTTGTCTCTGGCCACCCATGGGCCTGAGTGTATGCAGGTCACACTCAAGAGAACAGACATGGGGAAGAGGCTTGCCTTGTCTCTGAGGGAGCTGGAATGCTTATACATTCTAGAACCCTCTGAGAATCAGGGAAGCAGTCTTTCATTCAGACTCTTCACTCTATCCAGCAATGCTGAGACACTGGCCCCAACCCTCCTAGGAAGAGAGCCACAGTGCAGAAATGAACCGCCTTTATTTTTCTTGATTTCCCGCCCATACATCCCAGTGTGATGGAAGCAGCAAGGAAGCAATGTCTCCCCAGAGCTTGCAGTAGAGGCTCAGGGAACCAGGCTGATCAATGCACCCACCTCTAAAGACACCACCTTGGGCTGATATCACCTGTAGGAGAAATGGTCCACCTGTAGACCACCAGCAGATGGACCACTTGGGCCCAAAGCTCCTGCTTGCTGAGACTTCCAAGACTTGGGCTAATTATACAGCTATGTACAAAAATCCAGGAGCATCCTTCTATTCCAATGGGCAAATCCGACTTGCACTTTTCTGTGGTGGGGGCTCACCTTGGAGATGTATTTTTAATACAAAGTGAAGCCCCACTCAAGAAAGATGGTGATGAAAGGCAGCTCACAGACATGCAGGACCAACGATGCTATAGAAAGGGAGGCGCTCAGGCACACAGACTTGAGGACAGGGCTATGCAACACGCAGACACAAAAATGGGGTCTCAGGGTACTCACAGGAGTCAGCAGAAGTGAGGAGATAGAGTAAGGAGAGTGTCCTCAACAGTGGGTCCCCAGCTGGGGAAACCCAGGGAGGTGTTATCCTAAAGACCAAGGAAACACCAAACAACCTGCCCAGGTGTGGCCTCATAGAGGTCACTCTATGCCTGTGAGTCTCCTGGACAGGAAAGGGACATGAAGGATGTTTGCAAGACACAGGTCAAAGTGCACAGAGAGCTAAGGTCAGGATGCTGCCAGGGATTCTGAAAGCACAAGAGCCGCCCTCTGGGAAGCACAGAGACAAAGAGGCTGCTGCTCACGTGGCCGGGTGCCCAGCCAGCCTCCGCCCCCCACTGGGCAACCATGAGTCTGGCAGGTTTCTCAGTACTTTTTCACAGTTAAGTCTCTTCCTTAGGGAGCTACATCCACATGAGGCTGGGCCAAGCTCAGGGGTCCTTCAGCAGGTCCAAGGGCGTGACTCACATGGAGAGAATGTGCCCACTTCTCTGCTTTGTGGTTCACAGGCCTTGGGAGACCCGACAGCGGGTGGCTGCCCATCCGGAGGTCAGAGGGGTGGAGAGGCCTGTACTCCAGACTCTAGATGAGAGGTCAAAACAAATGAGCATAGCCCCACAGGCCTCTGAGTCTAACAGTTCTAAGCCAAGTCCACAGCTGCATTCGGAAGAGGAAGGGCACTATAGCGGCTGTTAGGCCGGATGGTAGTGATGGGCAACCATTCCCAGCTTGGGCATGTGGGAGGTTTTCCGGTCCTTTGGAGTAAGACAGGATGCAATGGTCCTCAATTCTTCCAGTCAGACTGAGTTAAAAGCACATCTTAGCAGCAGGAGTTTGTCCTTGTTTTTGTCACACAAAGGCTGATGGAGACTGGTTCAGGACAGTGCAAAGGCCAGTTTGGTGAGGGAGGAGAAGCTGCTGCCAGTTGTGTGGGGCGCAGCCCACCTTCTCCTCGCAGGCCTCATGTGAAGTAGCGGCAGGGCGTGGAGTCGATGTAGCAGTACTGGGTGCACCGCAGGTCTCCATACGACCTAGGGAGGCAAAGACAAGTGCTGAGAAGCCACCTCTGCTGACTCTTGGCCAAACCTCACCGCACAGCATCACGGTTGCTACCTTACCAAGGGCCAAAGTTCTATGAAAAGTCTTCTCATTCTCGTTTGGGGCTAGGGGCTTAGGTTGTTTTGTATTGAGTCCCAGCTGAGGGATATGGGTAGAAGGAGCTGGCAGCCCTGCTCTCAATACCACATTGGCCAGAGAAGCCCCCCTTTCTCGAGGCCTGAAAGGTTTGCAGTGCTGACCATTAGACCAGGCCATACTGATACAAATCCTGTGTCTGTGTGGCCACTGGCTGGAGGTGACTACTAAGCTGTAGAAATATGACTAGCGTGATTGAAGAATGGAATTTTAATTTTAATTATTTTAAATATTTAAATATAAACATTGACTAGCTACATGTGACTGGGGCTACCATGTTAGACAGTGCAGTCTACAGCTCTGTAAGCCCAAATGCATCACACACATGCTCACAAGCACCCCTCCAGCATCTCTGGATTAGGTGAGTAAGCACAGTAAGCCTGTGGGAAGCCTGGGCTCTGCTTGATCCGTACTCCATGTCTGATTGTCTGCACTCAGTGATCTCCACAGAGCCATTAAGAGGCTCAGATCTGCCCACTCCTTGGCAGGGGCCTGTCATGAGCCTTCCTTACTTCAGGGATGTGCACACAGACTGTGTGGCATCCTGGCCAAACCTCAATGGGCTTGGAGTTTAGACAGGCGCATATTGCTCTGGCCTGGTTTAACACGCTGTGTGTGTTTGCAGGGTACGTGTTGAGGAGTCCTCCTTGGAAGACAGAGCAGAGCAGGGCTATAGAGAGACAGGAATGGTATCTGTTCCCCAGCCCTGCTGAGGGCCTGGTCTGAGCCTACAAGTGGAAGCCAGGCTGGACACAATGGCCCCCGCCTGTAATCCTAGCACTCTGGGAAGCCAAGTCAGAAGGATAGCTTGAGGTCAAGAGTTTGAGACCAACCTGAGCAAGAGGTAGACCCTGTCTCTACCAAAAATAGAAAAAAAATTGCCCAGTGTATTGGTGGGCACCTGTAGTCTCAGCTACTTGGGAGGCAGAGGCAGGAGAATCACTTGAGCCCAGGAGTTTGGGGTTCCTGTGAGCTGTGATGATGCCATTGCACTCTAGCCTGGGAGATGGAGTGAGTGAAACTCTGTCTCAAAAAAAAAAAAAAAGAATGAAAAAAAAAGAGGCCTGAGGGGCCAGCAGATCTGCCCTAAAACAAAGGGAAGAGCAGAACATGGCTTAGCTACGAAAGAGCAGCCTCCCCATTTTCCTAAGAACATTATACAACTCTGGCCTGTGAGGATCAAGGGGAACAAGGTACCATTTTGCACCTTGGAAGGAGCACAGAAGGCTACCCACTGGGCATGGAGGCAGCACCTCACCAGGCAGAAGCCCTCAGCTGGCTTGGAAGATGTCAGCGTGGAGGCGGGGATACCAGGATACTTGTCCTGAGTAACGTGGACACCCACTGAGGACTCCAGGAAATAACCAAAGAGGTTCTTGAAGGGAATGTTTTATGAGATTTCATGTCTGGTGTGATGTCACTTGCAGCTACAGGCATGCCTGAGAGGTGGGCAGGTGTTCCAGAGGAGTCAGGTCATGTAGACACAGATTCTTTCAGATGTCCTGAGTCCTCCGCCCTCCACTGAGTTCCTTCTCAGGCCCATAGCCCAGCAAGCTGCTATAGTAACCATGGGGCACAGGGCTGCACATGCTCCAGCAAAGGGCCAGGTTGGAGGGGGTGGCTGTATGCACCCCGGTGTAGCCTCAGTGGCACTCAGACTGCACTGACCATGAGGGCCACAGTGAGTGAGTGATTACTGCCTGTCTTCCCCCTTGGGCAGAAGCTCCAGCTGGGCAGAGAGCATGTGTTGGGTCATCTGTCATTGGACCTCAATGTCTAGAAAGTACCAGAAATGCGAGGGGTACTGAAATATCTGTGAAGAAAAGAAGGAAAGGAGCGGGCAGGGACAAGAGAAGAAGGAGGGAGGAGAGATGGGTGCTACAATAACACATGGGATCATCCTTACCCAGGCAGATAAGTCTCGCACGTCAGGTGGCCAAAGTCAGAGCCATCGCAGTCCTCCACACCTTCATGCCGGTGACCATCTCCACAGTAAGCCCGGTGACAGTCTGAGGGGACATGAAGAAGTACAGCCTTGAGAAGGAAGGGTCAGGGGTAAGACAGGCTTGCCTCAGCCTCTAAGAACCGTGGGGCCCGAAGGATCCACCCAAAACACTGCACTCCCTGAAAAACCAACCTCCATTAAGCTTTAGCCTAAACCGGGGACTGCCCCTCAGGCGTGAGGTCTCACATCAATGCACAGTGGGACAAGAATAAGGAGGTCCAGGCTCCACCCAGCCTTGCCACTCACTAGTGAGGGTTAGGGAGCATCTGTGTCCTTATCTGTAGAAGTGGAACATTGACATTGCCCCGTGGCCCATGGGAAGTCAGGAGACTGCAAAGCATCAGGCACCATGAGGGGCACGGTGGGTCTTGTCTGTCAAGAGAGCTTCAGGGAGGGGAGACACCGAGGGGCCCAGCCTTGTGTGCCTGGAGAGCCACATGATCTTCAGCAAGGACTTCTGTTTTCTCACACAGGGAGGGTCTTGGAATATGAACCCACCCTCATTTCGTAGAGACTGTTGTCCCTCCTAATGTGAGAGCTCCTACTTGACAGTGTCTGCACCAGAGGCAGAAAGGACTCCAGGTGCAGAGCCTTGCCAGCTCTCGGGGACTGCCGTCCTACAGTGGTCAGGGACAGTGCAGCATCTCTCCCTGTACCCACCCTTTGGTGCACCTTTATCACTCTGCCCTGTCATGCTTCCTCTGAGCTGCTTGAGGGCAAAGCCTGTGACTCCGCATCCAGGCACACCCAGACCCGAGCCACCTGGGTCTTCACAGGCGGGGTTAAAACACGAGCACACAGATGTATGCAGGGAATGGATGTCAAACCCTTGCTGCATCCAGACAACCAAAGCACGTGTTAGCTCCCGTGGGGAGCGACTAGGGAGTTGCATCTATTCTACAGTCAAGGAAAGTGAGGGTCAGAGCTGTAAGTCACCCTCCATCTCCCCATCCACATAGTGTGGCCTCTGCTCTGAGCTGCAGGTGAGTTGGTGGCCCTCAGAGCCTGCATTCAAACTCTGTTCTGACTCTAAAGCCCATTTTCTACCTCACTTCTTGGATTTGTCACTTGGTTTAAAAAAAAAAAAAAGCAAACCTCCAGTGTGCTGCCTGCCTGGCGGGGCAGCATCCACGAGGCCATGAGGATGGCAGCTCTGGCTGGTGGCCTCCTCCCCTCCCCTACAGAACACGCAGGTGCTCTGGCTCTGTCTCCTTTTAGTAGGAGTCCTCCTTTTAAGGAGGAGTGAGCGGGACGCAGAAGGGGATGAGGAAGGAGGATTGGGTTTTTGTGCCTGAAACATGGGTTTTACTAGAAAGTAGGATTAGGAGGGTCTGGTGGCTACACTTCCCAGTAGGGAAGGCCTCTCTGGGGCCAGGGTGCTTGACACCACCCCCACTGACCTGCTTGGGTGGTGGAAGAGTTAACATGTGGCCTGAAATTGAGGCAGGGAATCACAAGGAAGCCTGGGTACACCGTCCCTGGCTCTCGAATGATCCCAAATCGCCACAGCTGGTGTGCAGAGCTTGCCCAGCCCCTCCTCCCCCCACCGGCTGTTTGGGCCCCAAGTCCTCCCGGACTAGCCTCACTCACTGATACAGTCGTCACCCACGTTGTTGTTACCGTCGTCGCACTCCTCCCCGGGCTGCAGGACCCCATCCCCACAGGTGCTGGGCTGGTCTACAGTGTAATCCACGGGGTAGAGAGGGGTCAGCTGGCCAAAGAGACACACAGCATTAACTCGAGGATGTCCCGCCCAGGCAGCCACAAGGCAGGGAGGCATACTGCTTGGAGGCATCCCTTGCCTTCCTCCTGGGGCTGAGAAAGGTGCCTCAGCTGTGCAGCTGGAGGAATGTGGGTCAGATCAAGATGGCAGCCTGGCAGTGCAGGGAGGTGGAGGCCCTCTGGAATCTGGGCTCAGAGAGGATCTCCTATTTGGGGATAGGGGCATCGAAGCTGCTCAGAAAAAGTGTAAAGAGTTTGCTTAGCCCTTCCGTGGAGAAAGACCGCAGAAAGCTCTGCCCCGGGCCCCCCTGCACGGCCTTCCCTTCCCATAATGGATGTATCTTTTTCCTGGGCAGGGAGCGGTGGGATATGTCCTGAGGTGCCCGCCCGGCCGTACCTGGATGGGGAGCCACCCAAGGCTGTCTTTGAAGTACAGAGATCTCTGGTCTCTGCGGAAGGCAATGGCATTTTGGGTGTGCAGCCTTTCAAGTTCCTCCTGGTTGTTGACCACAAAAATCTGCCAGAAAACACACTGGTGAGGATTCCAGAAAGTACTTTTACAGAGGACAGAGGAAAAGCTAGTGAAGGAAACAGAATCTCTCCTGGCTTGGTGAAGAGTGGGAAGGGGTGTTTGCATACTGGGCTCTAGCATTCTTTCATTCCTCCTGAAGTGGGGAGGAATATCCTGATTCCTATACCTTCTCAATCCTCTTCCTAATGTCTGAGTTTGAAATGAAAATATCTACTGTGTTTTAACATTTTTAAACACTCTGTTCCCAAAACTTAAATTAAACGGTGACGTTATACAGTCAAGTAATTCAACATCTGGAAATGATTTTTTTTTTTTTTTTTGAGACAGAGCCTCAAGCTGTCACCCTGGGTAGAGTGCCATGGCATCACAGTTCACAGCAACCTCCAATTCCTGGGCTCGAGCGAGTCTCCTGCCTCAGCCTCCCAAGTAGCTGGGACCACAGGCGCTCGCCACAATGCCCGGCTATTTTTTGGTTGCAGTCATCATTGTTGTTTGGCAGGCCCAGGCTGGATTCAAACCCACCACCTTTGGTGTATGTGGGTGGTGCCTTAGCCGCTTGAGCCACAGGCGCTGAGCCTGGAAATGATTTTTAACAAAATTATTATACTTGAAGTTATTCATTACAGTATTTGCATTAGTGCAAAGCTTGGGAACACCCTATAAATATCCAACAATAGGGCATTGGTTAAATTACTGCTGATGCTTATGATAAATTGATGTCCAGAGTTTACTTCCCGGGAGGGTGGAGTAGGCATAAAGAGAAAACAAGGCAACAGGGCTAGCTATGAGCTGGGGAAAGGATACACAGGGGCTCATTACACTCTCTATTTGTTTTTATATGTATTTGAAATTTTCTATAATAAAAAGTTTAAAATGCTATTTATAGAGTATGGAACATACCAGGATTCCAACTGAGATAACTAGAGTTTTCACATTTTTATACAACATAATCTCAACCATATAGAAGTTACTCTTTAAAAAGACAAAGAAAATTGTGAGTTCCCCAAAGGGAACTCACAAACAAATGGACAATTTGGTTTTCTTCTTTGGGTTTTCCTGTATTTTTTTTTTTATTTCCTATGATGAGTATCTTCTCAGAGCAATGGAGGAAAATAAATTTTACCAGAAGGATTTTACAAAGGCCCAAGGGACCTCAGGTGAGAGGTCCTTACGGATAACCACCCCAGACTTTGCCCAGAAAACCTTACCACAGGAACTCGCAGAGAACTGGGCCCATACACGGACTCCCCATAGGAAGGGTTATTCACATGCACAGGCGGTCCACAGAGACATCTTCCTGGAGGCCCAGGAAATCCTCTTTCCCCTTTGAGTCCCATTACAAGTTGTCCTAGGAAGCAAGAGACTGCAGTGTCACCGGAGCCAAGGAAGAGAGAACCGAACAGCCCAGGGAGATGGGAGCAAACTTTGCTACAGAAAGGTTAGCATTTCAAGGCAGGCCTGAGGGAGTGGCTCAAAGAGGTGCTTTTGATTCAAAACATGGAGGAGACACAGTAAGATCAATAGCTGGTTGGAGTCATAACTTCCCACTCCTTCCTGCCGTGAACATAGACAAGATCTCTGGTGCTGTGGTAACCATGGTGCAACCCTGAAGTAACAAGACAAGCCAACATCCAGGAAAGACAGGACTCAGGAGGCCTGGGGCCCTGAGAATGACCAGGCGGAACCAAAGTCAGCTACTGTCCACACCTGGATTTCTTTGTGGGGGAAAAACAATGCCCTTATCTGTTTAGACCCTTATTCACAGGGGGCTTCTGGCAGATGAACACATTGCTGACTGATGACTTTTATTGTTTTTTAAATTTTGCTTTCTTATGCAGATGGTATCAAAAAATGTGTACACATTTTAAGAAAGGAAAAAAAACAGTATTAAATTTGTGATACTCAGTATATACCAATAATGTTTGTTATCTTGGATCTCTTGTAATTGCAGAGGTCAAACATGACTTGAGTATTACATTTTTCTTTTTTTTTAATTTTTTTTTTTTTTTGAGACAGAGCCTCAAGCTGTCCCCCTGGGTAGAGTGCCGTG